ACCATTCAAAGTCATTATACCATTGGCTACGAAATAATTTTAATTGTTTTCCAAATTGCTTTTTTTTGTATGACTATAGAGCACATAAATGTATGTTTAAAATTTAGAGTGTTCCGACTTAGGAGTTAGGTTAAAATGTAATCGGTACTTACTGCTAGAATTGGGCGATGAGAGAACCAGTACGTAGAGTTCCCAAATCATTAACGCTATGCTATTTTTTGACGTACCCGACGAACAAGGGACACCTGGGTCCTCCAAGTCTGCGTTTATATGTTTTTTAAATAAACTGAACATTTTAAAGTATTAAATAATATTAACAAGTAAACTTGTTAAAGCAATGACGCAACAGATAGACACTTGAATGAGTATTTGATGTCTTGACGATAGATTGTTAACTAGATTTGATGTTAATCATTTATGTATAAAGATTTACCATATAAAACGTTATTATAAAACTCATACGGATTTACCAGTAAATTTACTATATATACTATATAGTGCTTTTTGATGTGACCTATTGATTAAAAATAGCTCGTATGCAATATATTTCTCCGTAATATTTATCTTATCGTTAATCGTCTGACAATAATAGGAAAATCCGATTATCCGAATATGGAAGGAATTATAATGAGTTATATGACTTACAACCAAATAGTCATACATTTTTTCAGGAAATTTTCCATAATTTAAAAACATAAAATTTATCGTATTTTATTAAAATAATAATTGTTAGATATAAAAAAAAAAAATAATGGGGTGCTAAAGACCTTTTTACATCCCCCTAGCGCTAATGCCAAGTTGTCCTTCCCCTTACTCTTCTAATAAAGTCATTTTAAACATTAACTTCTTGTCTAGCGCTTGGTCCACTAATTTTTAGTACATTTATATACAATAAATTATATAAATATATTAGTATATCAGTTTTTATAGAGTTAAAAAAAAAAAAAAAAACAAAAATAACGATTCAACTATAGAAAAAACCAAAAAAAAAAAAAAAAAACAAAAATAACGATTCAACTATAGAAAATACCAGAATAAATTAAAAATTATTAATATGCAAAAAAGTAAATTAAATTTTTCTGGTTAGAACATCTGAATATAAACACAATTTAAAATTATCATAAAAAGATAGCTTTGTAACTAGTGAAATTTATGTTTTTTCACCATTAGCGTAGCCAGGATTTTTCAATTGGGGGGGGGGGTTACGGTTTAGGTCAATAAAATAGGTAGGTATAGATAAAACATTGTTTTACATTTTCCTATACTTAATTTAAAGCATTTAAAGTCAAACAATATCTTAATTACATTAAAACTTACATTAACCGTAGTTTTCTTGTTTTGGTCGCTAATTTATTTAGGACATCATCAGGGTTTATCATTATATCACTGGGTATATTCATCATTGCCAAACCATTCAACCTATTTTCACATGTGGTGCTTCGTAAATATTTTTTTAATCTTTTTAATGTTAATAAATATCATTCACTATTAGCAGTTGTAACTGGGAAATTTGCTAAAATCAGTAAAAGTTTGAAAGTAAAAGGAAAAATTAATATGTTACATTTTTTAAGAGCGTTTTTTAGTTCCTGTACATTTTTGTTGCCAAATTGTAATTTCACTCACAGCTGCTAAAACACTGCAATCTAAATGGCCTTGATACATTTCAACTAGCTGTTTTATTTTTTCTTCATATTTAGATTTTACATTATTAAATACAATTTTAAATTTACTTTTATCATTTAATCTTAGTTGTTTGATTATATTTACTACGCGGTTTGAATAGCTTCAACCAGATCTATATTCTTTATCTGAAGAAATTTACTTAATGGTAAACTCAAACTCAACACGTGTTCCAGAATATAAGTTGCAAATATAAATTTTGGTTTTTTTATAGCATACTGCAATTGGTATGCTCTTGATGAAGCTTTGATAAACTATCAACTATTGCACCAAATAACTCGAGAAAAATAATTATTGAGTCGTGTCGGTCTATCCATCTTGTTGGAAATAACAGTTTCAAACGGTTATGGGTTCATGAAGAACATAAACGTCCTATTGATTTGGATAAAACATTATTTTTTTTGTGGTATTTAAAAAAAATACAAACTTATGATGAGAGAAAAAACCGTTTTCGTGCATGATAAATTGATAATATGGAATATCAATAGTCTAATAAACAATATGATGATATGTACACACTATTATATTATTATATTTGTTGATTTGGGTAAAAATTACACCAGTTATAAAATTTTATATTAATGGACTGTATGATGTATAATAAATAAATGATTTTGTTGCATTATGAAATATTATATTTAATTTGAAGTTTATTAAAAAGCCTTTTTTATTTCATGTGCGAAGTCGGTACCTTTACAATTTAAAATACTTTTCCCGACTGAATATAATAAAATCAAAAGCCCGTCGGTACACTAGACCGGTTAAGCCGGTAACAATACTAACATGGACACAATCGATATAACATAATACACATATAATTTGACAATACTGAACATTGATATCTATAGGTAACAATATTTTTCATTTATTCAAATAAGAACGCATCGTATGTGTATGCATCGTTATTAACCACGGAGGAACAACACAAAATGAGTAATTTATTGTTCTATAATTGGTTACCATCGGTTGTTTACCACGGTCGACTATCAATGACATACAGGGAATTGAATAATTAAAAAAATTATTAAATAAAAACTAATGGGGGGGGGGGGTTACAACACCCAAAACCCCCTCTGGCTACGCCACTGTTTTTCAGAATCAAGTAATTCTATTTTATTTTTTCTATCTTTTTTTCTTTGAATTTCAATCCATTCCGAATGTTGGATATTTTATAAAAGTATCTACCTTTTATTCTCTATTTCCTAAATCATTTTAAGCCCAGACCTTGAAAATATTTTTTACTGTTTTTATTTAAATTTTATATATATATTTGTTCGAGTAACACCTTTATTCTGAATTGTTGGCCAGTTGTAAATATTTATTATTGCTTTCTATCTATATAAATAAATCCTACCGACATGTAAGACACAACGAAAGAACTTATAAACAAAAACAGTGTTATACTACATTTTTAGAATACAAGAGACATTTTTTTTTTAAATATAAGTTGAAAAATAACTTATGTTTTAACGATTAAAACTTGTGGTTTTCAAATAAAAATACTTTGATAAAAACACTAAATTAAGTACCTACTCAATGATTCGTGTGTTTTGGAGAATTATTTGTATGTTTATGTGATCAATGTCATTTCAGTGACTTGAATTTTAATGACAGTATAAATACAAGTTAGCACGTTTTCATTTTACTGAATCGTTTAAGACTGTTATGATATTTTCAATAGGAATATGTTGTATTTCAGAAATCGAGATATTGCTCACCATTCATCCATAATAATAAATAAATACAATTGTTTTTAATGTTTTGTATGCGTATACAATGCGAAGCGTGCATCGATTGCATACATTTTTGCATAGTACGTTACATTAAAAGTTATACATTTGTTTTCGATAAAGACAATAGTATAGTTTATGAAACGAAAAAAAATAAAGAATAACGTTATTGAATGTTATTAAATAAAAAAATAAGCATGAATAATTATACTTTTTTCTATATCAAAGACCGGAATAGTGATTCGAACAATTCTGCGAACTGAACATTATAATCTTTTAACCATTCATACGGGTCATGAGTGGATGACGCACGGAACTATTTTCGCAAGTGAAGAATGAAAAAAAATACTTTTCGGGATCGTGTTAAATCCAATTCTGGTGAGAAAACAATCATTTTCTAGGCACGATCTTTTTAAATAGACACTTAGCAAGTTGAAAGCGTTGGTTGTGCGACGTTTGCTCCATCTGCCGCAAAAACTTAATCCGAGCTTCTGTCGTCACCTCACCACCAGGTGGTCTACTTTGTAGGTACACAAACAAGTATCGCGTACGAGCGAAACTCGTATATTTTCTGCATGTCGTGGAGTAATATTATTTACGAACGGCGGACGACGACGAGCGTTGACGTACATGAATCGTTGTCGCTTCAAGAACCGGATCGCCGCGGCAGGTCCATGGTTCTCAATCGCAACCGCGTTCAAACGGTTAACCGAGAACGTGGTCGAACCTCAGAAACAGATAGCGTTACCGGTATGCGGTCGCGCAGGGACGAACAACGAGACGACGCACGCGCCCTTCAATTGATGCCCCTGACCACGTTGCTCGGCTTTCGGCCGCTGCCATCACCTCCGCCGACTTTAGTCCCGTGTGTCACGCGCTTCGTCGTCCGGCGGTTGCGGCGCGCGTCTCGTCCAGATTTCCCGTTATCGCCGCGTTTTTCGTTCGTTTTTGACCATCCATTGATCATTGTTTTTCGTTTTCTCCGTTTCGGAATAAGTGTTCATCGGTTCTGTGCTTGTTCGTCGATCGTCGTCGTCGTTTTTCTCGGGTTACAATAATGGCCCGTTTCGCAATCCGAATCGGTAAACGCTGCGTCCACGTTCCGACGAAATAGTTATCGCGCGCGCGAGTGTGTCTGTGTACCTGTGTGAGTGTGCGTGTGCGTGTGCGTGATCAAGCGGCAACACGGAAGACGGCAGTCCCAAGAAAAAAAAACACATGTGAGTATTATACTAAAGTGTTCAAAACAAAGGGAAAATGTGGGCGAGTGTCGGCGAACGTTTTTGTTTGATACACGTATATTGTAAATTATATTATTACATTATTATTCCATTGTATACACCGGATTCTCGAACGTTTGAAGGCTGGAAAATACCGCTGGAAAATATTATTGCGACAAATGCACCAACGGAAAAGCTCAAGTGAATCGTTCGGATTTATGTGTAACATCGGGACTTGTGTAGAATGAACTTTTTTCAGAATATAGTATATACGCGTTGCACGTGGAATATAGACGATTAAAAAATTTCCCTCTTCGTATAAATATGAGTTGAAAGTATTTATCCTCGTTGAGGTTGTCGATGATTTCAGGATCATTCGGAGCAAAGATGGATATTTGGATTTATAAATGTCGCGAAAAACAGCAGTATAATGTCTACACACGCAAGCGAAATAGCATTATTTTCGCGTACGAACCGACCGTCACGCGTGAACTGCACCTATGTAAATGATCATGACACGTGACGCGTTACTCCTTTTTCGGTTATCATTATTATTTTTGCTCCCTTTTCATAATTTTACTACGTTACTCTTACCGTTATTTTATATGACGTACGATATAAAATGCCAATGGTGTTTTAAATGTGCGTTTATGTGCGTGTGTATATGAGTGTGTATATGTGTATGTGTTTTGGAACGATTCCAACGACACAAAAGGACACGCGAAAAGTTTTAAGGGAAATATTGGCAAGAAGTGCTGGTTTCTCGACTTTACGCGATAAGATTATTCTCGTGAAGTTTCTTTTTTTCTCCCTTGTTCACCTACCTGTGCCCACCGTAGCCGAAAACTTAATAAATTTTATAAAATACAAACAACATGTGAGCAAAACAACTAAGATTCTACGGCTTAGCGGGCGCTCCTTCGCTGGAATCATGTCTGATTATACTATCATCATATTATTTGTTTTGTTTACCTAAAAATTAAATCAATAAAAATAATAAGCCTATGTTCTTGTTATTTAAAACTAGGCATCATTGACTATTACAGGCCTTACGATACTTAAGTATTAACATAAAATTCAAATTTAAATACCTTTAAATTCATACGGCGCACGTGTTTGATCCAATGTCGACACTTAATGTACGCCGGATATATTTCTTTAAAATTATCCGCGAAAATTTCATCTCATTAAGTGATAAAAAAAAAAAAAAAATTAATGAAATTTACCATAATTATATTTTTTAATTTATCAAATGAAAAATAATTATATTGCTGCAATAGATATATTTTTCCGGTATAAATTCATTCCTTGGAATAAATATATAGAGAGTAGTCAATTTCCAAGTTACAAATAAATTAGGTATACATTTTATAATATTATTTATTTGACGTTTGATACTATTCAATTACATTTTTAATGATACCTTTTTGTTTGGATAATTTACTCAATTTTGGATTTATATTAATATTAATAAGAAAAAAAAAGAATACAGAAGAAATTGATATAAATATAAACATGACTGTTGACCACCATATCTTATATCTAATACATTTTAAATAATATTTTTTTGTTTTCATCGTACTAAATACCATATATTGTGTGCTGTTGAATTTTATATTAGTATTATATTAATTTTATATTAATATTATAGTACTTTAATGTTAAAGCTTTATTTTACTAATTGCAACAAACATTCATAGTTCTAAGTGAGAATTATAAAAATTTTAAGATTTGTTTTATATGTAAACTTGTACTTAAAATTAACACAAAAATTAATTATAACGTGCAGTATTACATAGTGCAGTTATTAAATAATATGCTCTAAAAAATTTTTTTTTTCAAATTTTCTTGAAATTTGCCTTAAAGTAGAAAAAAATTGATCACAAATTCCATTTACCTTTAATTTGATATAAATTACATTTGTGTTTTATGGCTTGAATATTTTACGGAAATTTAATTGAGGTTAAAGAGCTTTTTTATCTTGTGTTAAAAAATCGGAAGATTTTACAATGCCTATTTTTATTTTTATTTTTTTGTAACATTTAGAATCCAAAATATGGTATGACTGATTACTTTTGTGAAATAAAACAATTTTTTTATAATCATGTAGTATTTAATATTAATATTACTTTTAGAGGTATATTACAGGTTTAGAAAAATAATTATACAAATCTCATAAATTTTATATATATATACATTTTATAATTAATATTCAAGAAAATCTATTTTCGCTAAAAAATAAAATGTTATGTAATTATATTCTACGTATTCTTAGAACTTTAGAAAATTTTAAAAATATGTGGAACTTCATACTTTAGATAGTTTTTATAACTATTTAGTATTTTGTATTTTTAATTATTAATTCAAGATGTTTTTTTTTTTTTTGATACATAAAATAATCCTAAGCTTTTATATACACTTACGTATTGGGTAATAATTGATTGTGAATTTCGTTTTTAAAATAATAATCGATAAATTATCATAATTGTTTGATAGTTGTGTATTTACGTAGCTGAAATTTGTTGTTGATTTATTATATAATTAAATACCATAGTTTCATACATTTTATATATTTTAATTAAAAAAATAAATTTTTTCCAAAACTTAATCAAAACTTGAAGTGATTAATTGTATTTTTAATTTATTAATTATTATATTGAAGTACTTTGTAATTACGTTTTAAACTCAAAGTAAGCGTATTTGAGATTATTGTACCTATTGAAAGACTGTATTATTAGGAATTTAGTTATCTGAAGTATATACCTGGATAATAATGCTAAAGACTTATTTTTCTCCATTGATAAGTGTACTAGAAACCATCTTCTTCTTAACTATTCCTGACTGAATGGGTATATAATGGATAATAGTTTACTTGTTTCCGATATTTCAGGCGGGTGAAGCCCCTATTTGAGTTCACGGTCACGTCTTGTTTTAACAATAATATTTCCTCTCAATTTTCACCACTAACCTTCTCAAGCTCTAAAAAGCTCAAAGTGTAACAATCATTACCAAGAACACACAAGGTGTAATCTCTCTTGTAAGCCTTCAAAACGTATATGTTCCCGTTCATTTTCAAGTGTATTTATACAGCACTATACTATGATTGTGATACATTCATGCATGTTCCAAATCCAAAAAACAATTCTCTTTCACAACGCTACGAATATGCGGGTGATCTAAATGTGTGTGTGACAACTCATTCTTTGTTTTGTAACTTTACCAAACAGCATTTCATTTCAATAGCAGATTATTTAAATTAATTACATTTACTTAAAATGTCAATAAATATCTAGATTGTTTTATTTTTAATAATATATTTTCATTTTCAGTTAATAAAAAAAATAACGAATAAAATGTTATAATTTGTGTTATAATGAATAAAAATCAAAGAATAATATCACCTCGTATATAGGTATCAACATTTTCGATGTTATTGCATATCATATAGCATCTTACTATCAACATAATGAGAATTATGTTTATTTTTTTATTATTAATACATATTTCAATTCGTCATTGTACATACATATATGCAATTTAGGAATAATACTTTTCTCACCTTAGCAAATTAATCATTAATCTTGTTAAATTATTTCGTATCTAAATCTAGAAAGATTATATTTATTTTTCGATTAAATTATCTTCATAAATATTAAATTATGTTCTATAAATTAAACTACACGTTAGTATAGATTTAGTTATCAATGAGAAAATGTATAAATAGTAACTGAACTTTTCTTTTAAATTTATATTTCAATTGTTGATTTTATGTCAATATTTAAATTTTTGACAAAATTAAGCAAACAATTTGTTTTCAAGTCAGTTGTATGATTGCAGTTGAGATATCAGCTGAAATATAAAAATAACAATTAAAATTAAAGATTGGCTTCAGATTTTTATTTTATCAAATGTTTTTTATTTGTGACTATTTTGATTTTCTGTCTGTGAAATATTTTTATATCATTTTTTAAAACTAATTTATTAAAATTTCCCAAAATTATGTATTGTATATTGTATAAATGTAACTGAATTTTTTATACAGTTTTAATTAAAAAAAATTCATCCATTTATACATTGATGATTTCCGATTAATTTTATAAACAGTTAAATTATCTGTTATACTTTAGTATCGAAAATAATTATGACAACATAGTTTTTATCGTAATTCTACCCCTTTGCAAATGTCATTCTAACAGCTTAAATAATGCGTAACTTTATGATAAAAAAAATTTTCGTTCATATTAAAATAATTTTATTAAATATTTAACTAACGAAAAATAATTTATTTTTTATTTTTGTTTATAAATAAATAAACAAAATGTTTAGTTTATTTATTTATAAACATTTATAAACAATTATATCAATTAAATTCTTAACATAAGTGTTAGTTAAGAATTTTTTTGATATAATTATTATTATTGATGAGTATAAAACATAAAACGTACTATTTATATTAGTAATTAAAATGTGCAAACAAAATTCATGGTTCACTTATAATATATTCAGTTGTGGTTAACTAATTTTGATTTTTAATACTTATTTTGTAAGTATTAAAATACTATTTGATTATTATATTAAAAAGATATTCAAAATATTTTATGAGTATTAAAAAAGTATAGTAAAAATATTTATTAGAAAAATAAAAGTATTCAATAGATTACCTGTCACTGATTAATGTGAAATACTTTTTAACAATTTATTATTTGCATCTTTTTCAAAAATTGTACATTATATTAAATTTAATATAAGGATTTTGAAAATATTCTTGATGGTTAAAATCAATCGTCTGTTATTTTGGTTTTTGACATAGTTGACTGTTTTAAAAAATTGTTTTAACTATATTAAATTGAAATAATTTTACATTAAGTAGTTATAATGTATAGGTAGTATTGTATATATGTATTATTTTCATTTCTGGATTTTATTAAGGTTTAAGGTTATTACTATTTATTTATTTGCTTTTTTTGATACAGTAATTGTGTTCTATATTTCTATTCTTA